GAATTTTCAGCTAATATTAAACAAATTAAAACTATGTTATATCTTAATGTCATATATACCAACAAGTTTGGCTGTATATTACTGAGTTTTGATAAACAATAAAATTCAATAGGGTTGTCGAGTTCCTTGTCTATCTGGGGGCACTGCAGTGCCCCCGCCAAGTCGAGCAAAAAAGCGGCACGGTCGTACTATACTTTTCTTGAAGCAATTCAGGCCATTTTCGACCCCCTATAACTTTGTAGTGGATAAAGCTACAATCCTGATATTATCAGTAAAGTGGATGATGTAAATGATGATATATTTCAAATTTCATTCAATTTGAACCATTGGTTTAAGAATTATAACTAGTCAAAGTTTCTTAATTTTGTCACTCACTGACTGACCGATCATCAAAACTCTATGACACTTCTAGCAGACATAGAAGCTTCAAATTTAGAATACATTTAGTGTTTAGTGTATAAATCAAGGAAAATATAAAATATTTTATAATTTCGGTCCAGGTTTTTAGATACACTAACTGCATAAATAACTTTGTAATCCTATATAAATATATAGAATTACAAAGTTACATTTGCATTGAATGAATCAGTGTACTTGTATATGTATAATAGGTGTAAATAGGTGCGTTGTTGGTATTCAAGAAGTAGAAGGTACCGGAAAGGTAAAAAAGTAGGACTATCTTATCTACAAATAGAAATGAGATGCCATCAAAAACATTACTTGTAAAAAAAAAACCAAGTCTCGCGACTCAGTTCTTCTACCGTAAAAAGTTGTGAGATCCATGTAATACCAAGTCATTTCATTTATTCAGTTCCTACTAAGGATCCTTCTGTTTTAAATTATTACATAATTAGCTAACCTAACAACATTTTATAGTGACCATATCAATGTTAAAAATCTTTTATGTTTTAAATATATAGATTGACTTGGCCATCGCACTAAGCAATCTAATTTAATAAAATACCTATGTATTACTTGCACGTATTACCCCCTTAACTTGCAAAGATTATTGTAAGATACATTGTGTTTTCATGCGATGGATCCAGTGGCGTAGCAAAGGGGGGGGGGGGCGGGCCGCACCGGGTGTCACCTTTTTTGGGGTGACACCCACCCGGTTTCTCAACTTTAAGAACAATGTACAAACAAAAAAATTGCTAGCACAAAAATTTCTTTTTCGGGGATTCCTCCACTAGCACTAGCTCAGCTCTATGTATAATTCGGGGATTCGCGCAAAAGAGCCTGACGCAGTCGTGGGGGATTTCCCGTCCCATACCCGGGATCTTTGACGGTTCAGTTGCAACTGTTGTTCATGACGGTTTGCGTGTCCGTAGCTTCATGTGAGAGGAGTTTCAGTAAATTAAAATTAATAAAAAACTATTTGCGGGCAACAATGACCCAATCGCGGCTTAGCAATCTTGGTATATTAGCCATCGAACCGAGGTAGTACAAAATATAAATTTCGATGAAGTTATTGCTCAGTTTGCAGTTTAGCAGCTAGTTACTATTGTGTTTTGTTATTTCTTCAATATTATAAATAAAATGATCCATGTCCTTTATCATATAAAATTTATTGCTTTTTACTTTCGATGGGGTGATAACACCAAATTCCGCACCGGGTGCCACCCAGGGTAGCTACGCCACTGGATGGATCTCACAACTTTTTACGGTAGAAGAACTGAGTTGCGAGACTTGGTTTTTTTTACAAGTAATGTTTTTTATGGCATAATACTTATCGATGTTCTTTCCTACCCATATTTGTTAACAAACAAAGTCGCCAACAACAGATTATTATCAAATGTTTATTAACTAACAGGTTTTCAACTGAACCTAGACCAAAATTTTGGCTTAAAACCATAAATATTTTGAATTGGCGTCCGAAACAAAACGATCATATTTGTTCTGAACATTTCACAGACAACTGTTTTATTAGACATGAGAACTGCACCACTTTGAAAAAGTGCAGCATTCCGACAATATTTTCTGGTAGTACCAGTACCAGTAAGTATAAAAGTATTAGATTATTATTATTCCGAATGTTTTTTTATTTCTTCTTTCCTCATTTTCCCACAAACTCAAGGGCCATAGCCAAGTGTCGAAAGGTCACCTTATTATGTCGAGCCACGTTGTATGTGTGTTAATGGGCTGCGGCTAGAGGAGATTCCTCTCCCTGTACCACTGTAGTCGAGGTGGAGTCGTCAGGGGAGAGGAGTGTTGGTATGGCGATTGGCGATGCGATGCTACTCGACTATCCTTCGTGACTTTAGTGAAGCTGCACCACTTGATGCTTCTAAGTGCTCGTTTTTTACTGGCTCCATTCACATATCACCTTGTGTTTCTGGTGTGCCTTTTCTGAGAAGAAAAATGGGGGGGGAGAAGTCAGCAGCTAAGGAGGGGCTGCCATTAGGCGGCTGGCGCCGGTGGGGCCGCGGGTGTGCATGAAAGAATTTCCGTGGCCCTGTCAATTTGCAGTGGAGGTAGAACATAATGGGATTTCAGTAAGTGCGAGTCTAGTAGAGAGTATTCTCTCTCGGGTCTCAAAATTTAATTTGTGCTTTAACTTCGTAGTGGCCGTACTTCAGTTTATTTCTTATTTACAAACTCTGGCCATCTTTTACGTTCACAGATTTTGGCAGCTTCTACCCACAAAGGCAATTAAGTGTTCGACCAAGAACGCATGGATTGCGATATTATTAGAATATTTAAAGAAGTCAGTGCTCTCGACCTTGACACTATTTTCAAAGTTTTACGCCTAATGCCATAGTTCGACGGTAACCCTAATGCACTAACTAGGTTTATAAATTTTTGTGACCAAATGTGTACTGCATACTTCAATAATGAACGTGGCGGTGAACTATCGAACTTATACCTGCTTAACGGGATATTGAATAAAATAACTGGACCCGCCGCGACCACTTTAAATTCAAATGGTATTCCTGAAAGCTGGTATGGCATACGTACAGCATTAATCAATAACTTTTCTGATCAAATAGAGGAAACGGCTCTCTACAACGACCTCTCGTTAGCTACTCAGGGAAACAGCTCTCCCCAAGAATTTTATGCACGATGTCAGACACTATTTAGCACTATCATGACGTATGTTACGCTTCATGAAACCTTGTCTACTACAATAGAAATCAAACGTGTATTATATAAAAAATTAACAAAGCGAGCTTTCCTACGAAGTTTAAAGGAGCCACTTGGCTCACGAATACGTTTTATGCATCCTAATACCGTTGAAAAAGCCTTGGAGTTTGTACAGGAAGAACTGAATGTCATGTATCTGCAATAACGCGGTGAATCTTTCGCTGAGAGGAAACCTCGAGCACCTAAGCCTCTCCAACCTAGTCATATGACCTTACCTTTGCAAAAGCCATTCAGTTTTCCTGCACCGATGGCAATGCCCAATTTACAGTGACCTCAATGTGTACCACAGCAACAAACTTTTAGGCCTAACGTGCCACCACAACAACCACACCACAACAAACCACAACAACACAACCAATAGAGAAAAATTCGTGTACATGGAGACAGAATGTCCGAAGTTGAATAACCGGTACCTATGCGAAAAGGAAACGAACACCCAAATTCAAACACAATCCGACTGTATCCAGAACCTCATCATCAATCAGTCTATAGCAAAATCCTGTAAGATAACCGACATCACACTACCAAAAGAAGCCATGGAACGTTTTGACGACAAGCACTACACCATCTCCTTCCCTCAACCAACTAAGGTCCACACAATATTCGAGCGTGAAGACATTACTACATTACGGGGCAGCTACTTAGCCACAGTACCAATCATTTACTTCCTGCGAACACAAGAATTTTTACAATGAAATGAAAAAAATACTAATGGATACAAGAGCAAACGATACCCCAGCAGTACCACGAATCAGCCTTAATACAATCAACCTGAAAGGACTCCACGCAGCCCAAGACCAACTCATGATGCAACCACCACTTCATCTGCGAGAGATGCATCTCCTAACCATATATCACACTACTATTCCCTTTTACGCCGTGTTATCAAGCCTAGTAGTATTCGCTATCATAATCTTATTTCGTTGCTACTACAAGACTAGGAAGCAAGAACAGACCCAGAATAACACCCAACATAGCTATGAAAACCCCGAAGAATCAAAAGTCGAAAAGACATTACCAGCAACTTTTTCTCTGAAAGTTCTAAAATAGCTGATTTGAGGGTAGAGGAATTATAGCATAGCCTCATAGGTAAAGAGCCTACACAGCAACGACCCCGATACATTGCAGCGGCACGAGGTGCAACTCAGCAGAACGTGAGCATTGACGTCAACGGATGCAATCGGAGCTCTGCAATATTTTTTTTACGTTATTATATTGTAATAATTATAACTCATTCTAGATCTAGCATCGATCTGTTTCACTTCTTTTTTAGTTGTAATAATTATATTGTAATTTTTGTATTATAATAAAGTGTTTTAGATTAGTATCGGTTTTTTTGGGTTCCTCGGCTACAGTTGATGTTATTCACTCGTACTCGTACTCGTTCAAATGGAAGATACATCGGCTACATAACAAAACCTGTCTTAATTTGAATTTCTTACTTGAGTCCACTCGAGTGGTCCGAGTCATTCGGGTTGACTCGAGTCACTCGTAATTCGAGTTGTCATAAATATTACTCGAGTGCGAGTAAAATAAAAGCTACTCGAGTGAACACGGCTCGAGTTTCATCACTACTTGACACTGACATTTTCTCACAGAGTACCTCTCTGTCTACGCTTATTACCTTTACATTTTCAATTTTCTTTTCTAACCAAAAATTTATAAAGTTTATAAACAAATTGCGCGCACATCTATACCCGAAATATATGTTTTTTTAAAGATTATTATTAGACTTAAACTTAATACAGTTCCAGTTTGTGTTGAAAATGAAGTTTTTAAATCTATTTACTTTTTCACTTTCTATAAGATATGTTTATCTAATAGAAATTAAGGATTTTAATGTGCCAGCTGAGCATATGGGTTATATTCTAAACTCATTTCCAAGTTTAGCTGATAATTGTAAGGCTGATTTTAGTTGTCCATTTAAAAATGTTATCGACAATAATGTTTGTTGGGGATACGAGACTCATTGTTACAAAAATATTTCTTACCATGTGAGACCCAGATGCCCTGGTGATCATCGAGGTTGGGTTAAAACGAAAGAGGCTCAGTATGATACATTTTACACACAAGCTGACTTTGGTAATTACTTTTTTAAGTTATCTTTTGTGCAACAAAAAGTATCTAGTTCTTATGAACATTTCCACTTGTGTATGTCAGAAACTAACTTTCATATTATTTTGAATATCTCCATTGTACTTGGTAGATGAGTTATTAAGCTGGTGTGACCTAACTACAAGTACAAAACTAACTTTCTGATAGAGAAATGAGCATTGTATCATTCTATGCTAGCCATATTTCTTTAGAATTAAGCTATAGATATAGTTATAAAGTAAGTGAATCTTCTATTCTTGTCACTTTTAAAGGAGCAGTAAAATTAATGTGTAATTTTGGAAGTGTAAGTAAACATAGATAGGTCATAGTTTATGCCCTGAAGATCATTTTTTGTGGTTTGGTAAAATTCACTAGACGAATAAATTAAGGCTGATGTGTTTAACTAAAATAAGAGTGATAATGCAAGAATTTATTTTACCTAATGATTTCTTAAATTTGTGCGAACACTATGCATTGAATAAAAGTATATGGATTTTATCACATTTAATTAACTATTGTAACATATGTTAGTTTCGGGTGCTTTACAGCACCCATGGTCACGGAGGGACTAAGATGTTTGACGTTCCAATGTCATAGCCTGGCTACCTTCAGTTTTTGAATATTAATTTTTGTTCCGATCTATGCAGAATGAGTTTACAGTATCTTGAATTCTTACAGTGGTATGCTTAGGTTGGGTTTCATTTTGATAATTATAGGATCCCTAGCAGATGGTAGCACCCTTATTTTACCTCCTAGAATTTAGACAAATCTATCTGTTGAATCAGCTAGAACAAATGTTTAATACAGGTGTTAGAATCTTAATAGTATGTTAAAAGTGACAAAGATTTAAAGTTTATGTTATTATATTAATAAAATCACATAAAATATACACAAAAGTAGTATTTTATGTTAAAATATATTAAAATATATAGGACGAGGAATATAAGGAGGAAGGTAATCGATAAAGGAAGGAGGATAATTTGGGACAGTTGAAAAAAATATGGTTTGTTGAACCTTCATCTAAGCCACATCCACACAATGAGCTTACATCTAACTCTGATTTTTACCAGAAGCACATCTGTACAAGCATTTAAATGCTTTGTTAACTTTAAAAACCCAAGGCTTGGGAGGAATAATCTCTTGGATGGTAGTATAGTACTTACCCTTAACATTTTTGAATACTTTGCACAATTTAGTCCAATTTCATTCATCTCCTTTTAGCTAGTAAAATTAGATGCTAATATTTTTTTGGAAAACATGTTGTCGAGAGCAGGAATATACTTGTGTTGCTTGCCGGAATAAAGTCTAAGAGTCTTTGTTGAACAAAGTCCCGGATTGGGGGCGAGTAAATCTAGTCCTGTTCAATCGCAAGAAGATACAAGTTTGTGTGTTTACTGCTAAAAAGTACCCCTTTCTTGTATCTCCTCTGTTTCAAGGAAATTACCCTTGTTGCCTCATCTATCATCAGAATCCTCGGCATCAACATATTGAATGATTGCGTCGCCGTCACTTGGAAGGCAATGCCAAATTGACCTCAAAAAAGCTTGGAGTGCTTTGTAGATCATGACAGTATTTAATGCTGGCACACCACTTGCAACTTTGCAGGGGCACTCCAGTGCCAGCTCTTTCCACTTGGTTGCAACCACTTCACAGCAGTTAAAATCATTGGCGACCTAGTTTTTTCTGATCAGATTGATTCACTGGCGCTGCGAAGAGATGTTGCATCTCTGTGTTTTTTATTGCATCTACCATGGGAAGTGCTCAGAGGAATTGTTCTGGCTTATTCCAGCCACTCAATTTCACTATTACACATCGAAACAAAATTCCGATACATCTGGATGATGGGCAGTCCACCACTATGCGATTTACAATAATTTTCTTCCTAACACAATTTCCTTGTGGAATCGACTATCACCAGCGATTTTTCCAGACTGATACGACTTAGGGACCTTCAAGAAAAGAACCTACTCTTATTTAAAAAGCTGGCAATGCTTCTGTAATTCCCCTGGTGTTGCAGTTGTTCATGGGCGGCAGTAGTCACCATCTTGTGAGCAGCATATTCGTTTGCCCCCTCTTATAAAAAATATAGGTCATGTAAGGAAATTAAATTTTATACAATGTCATTAGTAATTACATTTTTAGCAAGTACATGAGCTATTTCATTTCCGTAGATACCACTGTGGCCAGGGATCAAAGTTAGGTTAAATAGAGTATAGTATAAGAGACACTGTAATGAGCACAAAACAACCAGACTCAAAATATACCAATCTATGTTTTTACATGTGTTAACGTGGGTTGTAATTTCCCAGAGCTTGTGGTTAACAGATATGATTTCTGACGTCTGATAAGTTTATATAGTTGTTAGTTATTAATACATTAGTACTTCAATATGGTTCTGTTACAATGAAAATATTTTAAATTTAATTTGTTCATAATATTCTTAATTTTTTAGGTTACGTTAAGGAACAAATAAATGAATTAAAAGTTATGTGTGAAGCTTCATACCTACATGATAGCTCTTTAGAATGTTCAAAATATTTAAGGTATGGTATTATAATAATGATAGTAATTATTAAATAACATTCCAATGATTACATTTTTACCCAAACTGAACAAAATTTTCTCAGGTTCTGTCGAGGTAGAAATTTAATGCTCAACTTTACTGGATTAGTTGGACGTGGAAACAATTTGCGCTATAAAATGGATATTCTGTCTGAAGGACAAATAGGTAAGATGAAAAAGTTTTGTTTTTACATTTTATCATAACATTTTACATCTTACAGAATACTAGTGTAAAATAGCAGACACTTGATCTATGCTATTAACTTGGGTTTAGATTTGCCTTGTGATTTAGTATACACTAACCTACATACTTACGACATTTGTTTTGTTTATGGACCTTTGATATCTGTACAAATACAATTTGGTTATTAGTGAATTAGAAGACTGCTTTATTTTATGCTCACTTTTGCAAACTAAAACTGACAACATCTTGCAAAAAACTTATAAATAAACATTATATAGCATATTGAAAGGAACCGTGGTAGATAAGGGGCTAAGGGCTACCTAAGTCAATTTCATAGTAAGCGAGGTTCCACACCCACCAGCTCCAATGATTTTCTAAATTGTTATTTTGATTGGTATGATTTACCATGTGCTTTGTAATGAAAGAAAATGTATTAAGCAATGCAACTAGCATGTCTGAGGAATAAAAACATTTTGAAGATGTGAAGTGAGTGTGTGACTAATTGTTCCATTACCCTCTCCTAGTGCTCAGTGCCCATTAGTGGGACATATGTAGGCAGTCCCTATACTTTTATATTTTAAAAAAAATTGTGAAAATTTGTTGAATAAGTAGAACCTTTGTGCGAATTTACTATTTGTTTCTGTATCTTGTTGTGTGTACGTAAATAAAGTAATAAAAATAGGGTAACAAGGATGAGCTTATAGTACTAAAAAGTGCTGATAAATTTTTAGGGCTGATTATTGAGCCGTGTAGATTGTTTATTGGCTGTGACTTAATAATTGTATATACGTCCCACTGCTGGGCATAGGGCTATCTATCTAATTTTTGAGGGAATTTAAGACAAGGAAATGTCCAACATACAGCATGTTGGCAGCCAATGCGTGTTGGCGAACTTTACATGTCTGCCTTTTTATATTATAAATTAGGTTAATTATAATCCAAGATGCTGTTAACCTTGTGAAATAGATATTGCTGCTATAACATAACTTGGGATCGAGGCCTTGTAGGGGTATCTCATAATCAAATAAATGCCATTAATAACAATTCACCAAAAAAACAGAAAAAGTAATGCAAATAGTCAACATCTCAACTGAATAGTTGTAGTACAAAGGTTCAAAAACGTCTTTGTCATTGCCATCAGTTACTCTTATGAGCCTGTGAAGTTCTGAAAGATAAAATGAAATGATGGCTTCTTTTATGTTACCATATGACAATTGGATTATGTTATTTAAAAAAGTAATGCTTGGTAATATTGAGGAGTGTATGTGTGTATTGTAATTTATTATGATAAAAACGAATTGCAGGTGGATATTGTAATTTTTATGAGGAAAGACTTAAGTCTGAAGCCGAACATATGAGTGCTTTACAATCATGGGGGCCAGAAATGGTAAACTTTGTAAAAACTCCATACAGACCAATCTTTGATAATGTCTGTGATATTGTGATTGAGAAACCAACATACATAATGAAGTTAGATGCCAGTAAGTAGTAATTTTTATGATGTAAGTATATTTCATATTTCATGTTGTTTGTTTATATTAAATATTATTGTGCTAATCATATAACATGCTTAATGATTTCTTTTATTTACGCGAACGCTACACATTGATTAAAACTACTTATACGGGTTTATTGCCTTTAATTTACTTGATTTTTAATTCCCAATGTTTCAGGTGCTTTCTAGCACCCATGGTCATGGGGACTGAGGTGACTGACGTCCCGATGTTTGTTAACCCGGAGTACCTTCTGCTTTTTAATTATTACTTAGGGTCCAATCTATGCAGAAAACTTGCTGTGTCTTGAAGTCTTGCAGTGGTATGCTTAGGTTTAGTTTTAATTTTATTAATTACAGGATCCCAAGCAGGTGGTAATACCCAGCCTCCTTCTCTATAAAAATTAGGATGTTTTTTTATTTTCAATAGCCTCACGTATCATCCTTGGTAGGAATTGATGTGCTTTCGCGAGGATTTGTGGTCTATGAAATCTGATGTAATGGCGGGGCCCGTTTAGGATATGATCACAAACTGCAGACTTCTCGAAACGTTGATGCTTCAAATATCTATATGTTCTTTTGCACGGGTTCTAATTGATCTTTTTGTTTGCCCTATATATGAGAGATCATATTTACAATCAAGCTTGTAGACTCCTGCGTCTTGTAGAGAGATATGAAACTTGATGGATGGTAAGAACTGGCTAATCTTCTTTGGCGGCTTGTAGAATGTTCTAATAGAAGCTCGCCTCAAGATGTAGCTAATCTTGTCTATGACACCTGTAAAATTAAAATCCGTAAAAGTAGTTTTAATCAATATTATTGTACTTATTTATTGTATATTATATATACACTTAATATTATACACATATATGTATCATTCAACATCATTAGATGAACCCTTCACAAGTCCATTACTTAACATCTAGGAGGTCTATACCTCCCCTAAGAAACAACATAAAACACTGTCCTGAGCCTGAGTATTCATCGATTTCCTGCATGTCTTACTATGTAAGTACTCTATATTGTGCAGAGTCGCCCTATACTTTACTTACCAGTACGAAGCTGCCACTGGAGAATCGTTCTACTCCATCAGCCGTCGGATTTTTGGGCTATATGGCCGGTCTATTGCTACTTCAGCTTACTGATTCACATGATCTTTATAAAAAATTCTATTAATCAGAGAAACTCCAAGTATACCCCTCTCCATAGTTCACTGAGCAACCTGAAACTTCCCTACACAACCAAAAGTGAAGGACCACATTTCAGGTTCATATGTTACTGGCAACACACATGCATGCAGTGTCATGTCTTTTGTTTTTAAGCCTGACTGCTGATTATGTAGTCCCAGATTTGAATCCCAGATCGGACTAAAATAGGTTGCCCCCGTGTCTCAGAAAGCACGGAAATTCGTTGGTCTTACACTTGATCTCTCTCCAGTAGTGTCGCATTGCTGTCCCATCGGAGTGAATAAGTGAAAGAATAGAAAGTGTACCTGTGTTTGCGTACACACTTACGCGCTATAACTCTGTCTTGTGCATAATATCTTGACTGATTTTTGTTATTGAAAAGGTATAATTTGAGAGTAGTCCTATAAAATTTTTACTCAGATCTCATGATAATAATTATAACTAAAGCCTCTTACCTGTAAGCGAATGTAGAGTGGCCGCCACTAGATGGAGTGATGATCTGGTGAGACTTGCAGGGAGTTGGTGGATGCAGGTGATTCAGGATCCTATTTTATTGTTGATGATGATGGCTGCGCGGTGGAATTAGACAATAAAGTTTATTGTGAAATATCTTACCCCGGCTTATTTCCAACGAATATTTTAATAGAAACATGTGTTACCAAAGTTATATCAATATACTGAAATATCGTGTCGGTAAACTTTTAACAACCCTGCTATAACTAACATTATATAGTTTTTTGATTATATTTTAGCACTAAGAGTTATGTATCGCAATTTCAGCTGTGAACATGTATCATCACTTTTGTGATTTCTTCAATTTGTATGCATCACTTCATGTAAACTCCACACATCCATCTACCTTCACAAGGGATAACCACATTCTTATATGGGAAACTTTTACATATGAATCTGCTTTTAAAGATGCATTTAAAGCGTTCACTTCAAATCAAATTTGGGATTTGAAGAAATTTAGGGGGAAAATAGCATGTTTTAGAAATGTTGTATTCCCTCTATTACCTAGGATGATATTTGGTCTATACTACAACACTCCTCTGGTAAGTATTTTAAACTTATGATTGCATTGATCACTCAAACTCGAGTTACATAAATTAGTATTTTACTTTACTGTTTACAAGTTATTAATAGAAGAGAAATTGTTCATGTAAGAGTCGTACTGACAAATTATTTAAATGCCCAATAGAACTAGATTGTACTGTACTCTTCTGCAAAAAATCAACTCATATTTTGGAAATGAATATGTGGGAAATCAGCTTAAAAATAAATTCATACAAGCTTAAAAATACAGTGCATACACACATACATTCTTCAAGTACTTTCCTGTATAAAATTATTATCATCATCACATTACAGAATTTTTGGCGATAACGGATGGTAAAATAATTGATTACACGAATTTCGTATCTAGGAGAAAGTTCTAGGATATCCAGTGGTGAACCTAGAGGTCCTAGTGCGAAATAATTTCAAAGATAGACACAGATGGCAAGCATTTTGTGGAATTCGTTTGGGGGAAATTTTAAGCTAATTATTGCGATCTAAATTTTTAGTGCTTTTAACTTTAACATAAACAAATACCTACGAAAATCCGTTTTATTTAGGTACTTAAAAATATAATTTAAAGAAATACCATTGAGGTTTTATTTATTTTTTGAAGATTGGATGAGATTCAAATGTTAGATCTTTTTTGTTTTAGATATATGGTTGTGAAAGAAGTGGTTTATTCCACGCGTTTTCTAAGCATATTTTACATTCTTTAAATGTAAAACAGCTGCCTCGAAACAACGATAAGATAAGGGTCACTTTGCTTTCTAGAGGGACAACTTACAGAACTATAATCAATGAAAAAGAGATCGTTGAAGCCTTAATGAAAGTGAAAGAATACCACGTCCAGCGTGTTGTTTATGATAAGACTGTACCATTTACAAAACAGCTGGAAATAACACAAAATTCCGATGTGTTTATTGGAATGCATGGCGCTGGATTGACACATCTTCTTTTCTTGCCCGATTGGGCTGCGGTGTTTGAGGTGTAAGTATTGTATACCTTTACATTATAATTATAATAGGTTGAGAGGTGTAGTTACAAGGTTACAGCTTGAACTCTTTTGAGACACGGTTGCATGGGTATTCCGGATTACCAGAAATATAATTTTATTAAATCTTATGTCAGGCGAACGAAGTCATCTGCATTCCTTAGTTTCTTATTTTTCACTGGCCCCAGATCCACAAGATCTCTGGCATATTCCCTAGTTGCATTTTACGACTTGGGGTCTTACGTTGCAACCACACGTCACCTCAACGTTTCTTTAAGTAGGCAAAAAATAATAAACCTCATTATAATTTCAGGTATAACTGTGAGGATCCTAATTGTTATTCAGATTTGGCCCGGCTTCGTGGTCTTAAGTACGTCACCTGGGAGGACAAGAGTAAATTTGTTCAACAAGATGAGGTAATGTTGTTTGTTTCATCATTAAATTTATTATTTAATTTGGTAAACCAAAATTATATAGCCGAGCAGGACGAGATGTAACAACCAACAAAAAACACCATGGAACAACTTGCAGAACCTATCCTACAACTTAATCAATCATCAAAACTTGAGGAATCAACTAAGGAGGAATCAACTTACATTCCGCGTAATCTCAAGAATAACAGTAGCGAAAAAAAATTGTTAAGGACTTGTACTTTTGCCAGTGTCAAATTCCGTTCGAGACTAAACCTGCTCGGAGCAAGCGGAGCAATAAAACAAAGTCGCCCCCTGCCCCACGCTATTCGTGAATTTCTGCAACATCAGGGACTTTATTCAAACTTTAACGCCGTCCACTACCATCTGGAAACGGCGAAGCCAGTCTTGCTCTTTTTAACCGAAATACAGGTGTTCTCTTCGGCTGATACTTCGTATCTCTCCTACCCGGTACAAGTTAGAACACTCCTTTGTGCTCCGGGCTGGAGTTTGCGTGTACGCCAGAGAGGACATCTGTTTTCGACGCTTCGGCCGTCTTGAAGGTACGGACCTGTCCGTTCTATGGCTGCGCGTAGACAGCGACGAACATCCCGGCGTCTACAGGTGCCTCTATAGGTTTCATAGCGGTAATGTCAACACAGATCGACTCATCGACCACGTCCAAATGGCTGCAAACTCCGTGCTACAACTAGTCCCATCCGCAGAAATTGTGATTCTTGGTGATTTTAATGCCCACCACGCTCAATGACTTGGTTCCCGTTTAACCGATCATGCGGCATTGACTTATATATTACTAGCGTAAGGACCGGCCCGACCGAACAACTAAAACGGACCAGTACACTGGCCCTAAAATTACAGTTTAGGGCCGGCGCGTATCGGTCGACAGTGGTGCGCGTGCAGGACAGATTTGCCTGTCATAAATGTGTCTAGTTGCGTGGTTAAAATAATGCAAAAATTACGATACAAAGGTTAAAAAAAACATGGGCTATTGTATCATCGGTAAATAACCTTATATTAATTTTGTTACAATTAAATTATTATATAAATGCATTTTTAAAGTTTTATTTTACAGTTAGTTTAGTTACGTTACCAAGATTAGATCAGGGTTGGATTCAAACTCTCAAAAATATTGTACATGGAAATTAGAATTATACTATTTAAAAAAAAACCATATCACGTTTGACGTTTCGTGTTTCTTTTTTCCCATGTGCCGGAATTTTGGCGTCACGCGTCCAGAATATCGGTAGTTTCGTTTTTTGACGGTTTTATTTTTATTTCTGTTTAATTTTTGTCTAAAGGACTTAGTTTAAGTTAAATTTTGAATTTTGGCACCAGAATTCAGCAGAATTCAGAGGTCAGCAGAATTGTCTGTTCCGGAGTACGGTGCCACTCATGCTCCCATCGCGGTTGCGTCCTGCAGGTTGCCGCTGTGTTTTACACTATAGGTCGGCCGATTGGGACGGGATGCAATCTTTTTTTGCATCCTAGTTGGGGACGGGTTTGATTCTCACTAGATGATACCAGTGTTGTTGCTGATTCTGTCGCTGATGTGGTGCTAAAGAGAATGGAACTTTTTATTCCATCGTCTGTGGTACCTACTGGAGGCAAAACCCAGCGATGGTTTAGTCGCTCCTGCAAAATTGCAACACGCCATAAGCAGGAATAGGGCCTGAGCTGACGCATTGACGTATCGGGATGCTAATACCAGCGCTTTTAAAAAGAAGTATCATTACGCCTCCAGGTCTTTCAAAAGTATCAATGCCAAGCCAAAGTCAGAGCACGTCGGCAGAATTGACGAGAAACTGGTTCAACTTCCTTCGGGAATACGTGCGTGCCGGTCTCTCGTCAAGGTTGTCCAAAGGCACTTCTGTCAACCATCTCTTCCATCTCTGCACAGGGAGGACGACTCACTGGCCCACGCGGCAAAGGACAAAGCCGATCCACTGGACTCTCTCTTTGAGTCCAACTTGATGACGGGGGGAACACACCCGACCATTCCACGGTGTGAGTGCTCCATGCAGGATATGCTGATGTGCCCAGCGCTCGGTGCGTAGAGCACTCTTCTCCCTAGACTTCAACAAGTCGAGTGGGCCTGACGACGTCCCTCCTATTGTACTGAAGACGTGTGCTCCGGAGTTGGCACCGGTTTTAACGTATCTTTTCCTGTACTCCTACTCTCTAGGCGTACTCCCGAACTCATGGAAGACTTCCTTATGTATCGGGTGCTTTAGTGCATCCGATCCCTAAAAAAGGGATTTTTCAGATCCGTCCAACCACAGGGTATCATCTTTCCAAAATAATTGAACAATTAATTACTCCCGGCTCATGAGGTACCTTGAGGATCACCAGCTGGTTAGTGACCGCTAGTACGGTTTCCGTCGGCGTCGCTCAGTTGGTGATCTTCTGGCTTACCTGACTCATAGATGGGTGGAGGCAGTAGAGTCCATGGGGAAGCGTTGACTATCAGCAATATCACCTTGGCGCGATACGAGTTTTCCTCTAAACCTCTCCTTTACGACTGGTATCGAAGCATCAGATGTATGGCATGTCGCGCCATCTTGTTGGAACCGTTGTACGGTTATATCCTTTGAATTCTTGCAGTTGTGGAAAGAAAAAATCTCTTAACATGGCTGTGTATCGGTCCGAATTTATTGTCACAGATTGCCCCCGCTGATTTTCAAAGAAATACGGACCTATGATCCCACGTGCAGAAATGACTGCCCAAACCGTAACTTTTGGCGAATGCAGAGGCTTTTGATATTTGGAACGTGGATTTACTGCAGCCCAGTAACGGCAATTCTGTTTATTGACGTGACCATTCAAATGAAAATGGGCTTCATCGGAAAAAAGAATACTGTTGAAACTCCTCAAAAAACGCTCCAACAATGTTTCGCAAAAACACGGCGTAAATTGAGGTCATTTGGCTTTCAATCCTGCACTAATTGAATCTTATATGGGTGAAACTTAAGATCTTTCGTTAAAATGCGTCGCAAAGTTGTTCTGGATACAGCAAGCTCAGCTGAACGCTTGCGAGTTGATAGACCAGGATTACGTTGCACAGAAGTTTTAACTTCGTTAATTCTTCTGTTCCTGTTGACCTTGGGCGTCCCGAAGGTTTTTGATTGAGAGTTGACCCATTAGACTCGAACTTTCTGACCCAAGACCTAATCACTTTCACTGGGACACTGATTTAGTTCGTGTAATCCGTACTTAGAACGGTATAAACGTCGAACAACAGTGCACCAATCGTTATTTTTTTAATAATTTTTACACAGAACGCACGTTGTGCACCAGTGAAGCGCTCCATGGCGACTAAATTTTCGCGAACCGAGCTACTTATTCCCACCTTCCGCGCCCCGCTACCGCAAATCGCTCCAACTTAATAGTTGTTCAAAAATCGTACGTCTTTTTGGTCCATCTTGTAGAAGCCCTTTAACGCTGGTATTTCACAAGGCTGTGTGCTATTACCAACGATGTTTTTTCTGCATATCATTCATTGCTATGCGGACGACAGCACTGGTGATGCTTTATACTTCGGCCGTGCCAGTATTTCTAGGGAAAACATGTTCGAGTACAGAGACAAACTCGTGTCTGAAGTAGAGACTTTGTTGAACAAAGTCTCGGATTCAAAAAATTCTCGGTTTAATCCCCAAAAAACACAAGTTCGCGCGTTTACCCATAAAAAGAACTCCTTCGTCGTATCTCCTTAGTTTCAAGGCACTCCCCTCGTTGCCTTAGCTAGTATCAGAATACTCGGCGTGGACATATCGAGTGACGTGCAGTTTCGTGGTCACTTGGAAGAGAAGGTCAAATTGGCCTCTAAAAAGCTTGGCTTACTCAGCGGAGCGGGACAGTATTTCATGCTGGTACACCAACTGCAACTTCATAAGGCGCAGCTTCGGCCACACATGGAATACTGTTCCCATCTTTGGGCTGGGGCTCACCAGTGCCAGCCTCTTCCAGTTGATCACATCCAGCGCAGAGCCGTTCGAGTCGTCGGCAACCGAGCTCTTTCCGATCGGCTTAACTCACTGGCACTGCGAAGAGATGTTGTATCTTTTTTGCGTATTTTATCGCATTTAATACAGGGAGTATGCGAAATTTTCCAGACTGATTCCAGTCGCACAATTTCGCCATTACACATCAAGACAAAACTCGCGATACCATCCATACAATCTGGATAACTGGCGGTCCACCACTGTGCGATTTAACAGAAGTTTTCTTCCTCGTACAACTTCCTTGTGGAATCGACTACCACCAGAGATTTTTCCGGACCAATACGACTTGGGGACCTTAAAGAAAAGAGCCTTTTTAAAAGGTTAGCAACGCATCTGTAATTCGCCTAGTGTCGTAGTTGTTCATGGGCGGCGGTAGTCACTTACCATCAGGTGAGCCGCAAGCTCTATGGCACTATGCATATCAAATAATATAAGTTGAATTTCCTCGCTTTTATAATAAATACTAAAAAAGTCACAAAAATTTTCGATAAAGGACGCCTGATATAAAATATCTCCTTGTCGTCCTTGACGTCTGGTACACTGCGATCGGTAATTCGCCTGCGAAACGTGACGATTATGGCACCACCTACAAGAAGAGAGGCTGGACATGGCCAGCTGTGTTCTTTTACGGGCTGATTATGAAGGAGAAGAAGTAATGAAGGCAACCTCGCGCTAAGCGATTGAAAGAGTAGCAGTTTTGACGAGTGATTTATTAATGAGTTTAAATGACACTGAATTCCGCAGGATCGTGGGAACTCACTTTGCAGGATAGCAACCCTGAACCCCTTTCTCCTGGATCCTGTGATGGACATGCAAGTTAGTCTTTGGTACTGTTGCATTTTTGTATTATGGTGTCACCGTCTTGATTTTTGGCTACTATAGCAGGGTGCCGTAAGCAATCATAGGGCAGATGATCGTTTTCTACAGCTACACAATTCCATTGTTTACCATCCATCCACTCACATTGACAAAATATGATATTTGTCTCATAGATCTTGTAGTTTATGGTACTCCAGTGAAGCTTGTTTAAAATAAAATAACACCTTATTTTTTCAGGGTAACGGTCCTGGGGGCGCCTCACATGCGAAGTTTACCAATTATTCCTTCGACGTGAACGAATTCTTACGACTGGTGGAAATTTGTGCGTCCTACGTAAAATCACGTCAGGACTTTAAGAACTTTATCGAAGCATCGTTGTTGAAGCGTAATCATGACGAACTCTAGAAAAAGTAAAGATTGACGTATTTGTTTCATATTCTATTACTCTTGATGAATGTACATCTAGTACAGTACCATTTAAGTTCGATTAAGCAGTATTGCTTTAAGTACGTACTTAATAAGTGGCTGTAATACATAGGCATAGGAAGTAAATAGATCCAAAAGCCATGTTTTTTTCCAACAATTTGTGTTATATATATAACATCGCTGTATTTTTTTTTCCGATTATTCAAACAGTGTATGTACTAATTTGTGTTTAATATTGTTACCGCCGATTAGGATGAGAAATGGATGTATTCTTCCAAACAGAACATTATTGATCATGCTGTCGGAAATCTTTAAGATTCTTTGCATAGGTCCTTAATTCTCGCAGATGTTGTAGGTCGATAGCTCGTTGGCCCTTTCCGCAGAAGAGTTCACTTGCGCGTTAATTTAGAGAAACAATTAAGGCAGTCAACGATAAGCGCTAGTAACCTTGAGTGAGTGGAAGGAGCAAACATCGCCTCCGCGAGCCCCCATTACATACTCGCAAGCACAAAATTTTATATTGCAGTGAAGTTCGTAGAATAACCATGCGTTACAGATTGTGAGGTCTCTTATCTATTACCATGTTCATCATATGTCGATCGACCAGTTCTCGAATTATGCAATACATATGTGTAAAATTTTATTAAATTATTTTTAATTTTTGTGTCCCAAAAATGTCATCGTTATAAATCAATTCTATTTGTACGGGAAAGTTTCCCCCGGGGCAAAATAAATACCAAGTTGTTCCAGTATTTAATATCACCAATTATGTTCTTTGTTTATTACGTAATTATTTATTGGGTGCTCCAATCTTTACTGACTTGACTGTCCTTGCAATGTTCACGTCTTTTTTGAATTTACGGCGCGAGAACTTTTGTTATTTTGTTTTTCGTATAAAACAAAAAATGTTATTTTGTAAAATAAAAAAGTATGTTTATGAAAATGAAATATTATGTGGTCCAATTTACACCAATTTTTCGTTAGGATAAACAAATGAATGGTTGAAAATACGTTAGGTACTTACTTCAGTAATGAATTTTTTTTTGAGTATAATAATTTTTCAGTAGTTTAGATTTAATAGGCATTTTAGCGCGAAAATTATAATTAAACGAAATTGTTTTGTTTGCTCCGAGCGTCAGCGTTTACTCATGACAGTGGTCACCGATAGTCTAGTGTAGTTCGCCAACGATGAGCGATTAGGAAACGTATCTTGACACTGTACTAAAAGAAACGTTTCTAACGGCTCTTTTCGTACACCTACACTCGCAAGACGCCAATACCAAGCGAACACGTAACTCGAGAATCGGTCAGTAGCCATTCAAGGACAAGAGCACAAACTAATAAGAAGTACTAGCGTAGACAAGAGCCAATGAGTGCCTCTCTGATACAGTCAGTGACTGACTGAGATAACCATTCCACACAAATAAATACAATTTAATCAGGTTAATGGTACCGATGACCGAATAGAGCTAACAGAACTAATAGAACGAACTAGTTCACTGCCTGAAATTAACTAGTACGGAGCGATCTTTAAATTTGAGCAGACACAAGACCCGTCGTCTGCCCCCGAGCCAGTGTTGCTGTCGTAAAAATCTGAGTTGCCGTATGTCATAGTCTGGTTTGCCGAAAGAGAAAACTATTAAATTGTCGTATTTCTAATTATTAATTATAAAAATGTGTATTCCTCATTTGTTTCTTCTCCGTAAAGGTTTCTAATCGTTTCTATCACTTCAGATTCATGTTTATCTAGTGAGTATATGTCCTTGCTACACATTTTATCGCACGGTTTTCTTGATTTTGCATCAGTTGTCTTGCTAATAAAGTCTTATTTACAGTCCAAGTTACTAATTTATTTCGCACATTGGTCTTTATGTCTTCACTGAATATCTTTTCACAGTCTGCGTTACTTATTTAAGGCGAATTTCTCTAGTTTTCCTGTTTGTTGTATCATGGATCTTCCATAAATTTGTGAGCCTGTCAAGTGCTTCGTATTGATTTTTTGGAGTTCGTTTTCAATTTTGACAATTCGTGGTAGCTTCTGTGTTAGTGGTAACTTCGACGAAAAAAGTTCTCTCTAAGAATTTCATTACAAAAATCATAACGCTTCCGAATTTTCTTGCAATTGTTACTAAAGGTGGGCGAAACTATTATATTTTCCTAATTCGTTAAGCTGCTGTAATATATTTTTGTAACTGTTGTTTTAAACTGTTATAATATATTTGTGGCGGCGCTGTCGTCGCGCTACAAGCGAAACACATCGAAGCTTAATCGCGCTATCAAAGTTTCGAAGTAAAACAGTATATCGTCCACTAAATGTGCTAAATTGCTAACTCCCAACCATACTGCTTTCGAGGAAAAATAGAAAACTGATTTGAAAATAAAATACTCAAATAAGTGCAATAAACAAAGTCTAGTTTGTTTCTTATTGTTATATCAACATTTTTGCATTTATTTCAATTTAATTACACTTTGCGGTTAGTACGAGTTAGCATATTTTACAAATTGTAAATATTTTTTATGGCGATTAGTTTGGGTTTGGGAGTTATCAGACTTACCTATTTTATCGTGTTTAATTTACTTGATTTTTAAAATTAAGTAAATTAAACGTTATAAAATCCGTAAAAGTAGTTTTAATCAATGTGTAGTGTTCACGTAAATATAAAATATCATAAAGTATTCTTATTGAAAATCAAAAAAAATACGTAATATAGCTTTTATTATCGAAACATTCACAAAAATAAATTGAACATTATTAACACAAACAATATCGACTTAATCATGCGGTAAATTGTAGTAAATTTCTCTGAAATCTGCTGGCATGACTTCTTTAATTTGTAGAAGGTCATCATATTTTCGAGCTTTAATTTTCAGTCTAGTTTGGTGCAAATTTTGCATTTCCTCAAAACTTTTTGCTGAAAAAGGGCTTTTTTCTTTGGGGCAGCAGCATTCATGGCTCTTCAAACTGCAACTTGTATGAATTTTCTCCTGATGGAGAATACATGAGTGCGCGAATATCGGTGACTAGGGTCTCCTGATGATCGTCCAGGGCTAATGCTTTTGTGGCTTGAAATATTACGGAACTTTTTGAAAAATTTTGTTCCAAATACTTGATATCAAATGAATTATTGCGCGCAGACTCAATAATTTGAACATAGTCCCCAGGAACATTTATGATTCTATTACGCATTCTCCATTCTATTAAAGAATGCATAGCATCCCCTTCGATTTGTGTATGGCCGACTTCTAAATATTTCTGCTCGATAGTTATTTTCTTTTTAACTGCCATATTTAATAGCGCATTTGATATAGCCACATGCGTCCATGCGACGGCGATAACCACAGCCATCATAATAAATAATAATACTTACATATATCTGTTTTGTTTTCCACTTTAGGTAGAATCTTTTTCTCAATAAAATATGTTCAAATAAAAGCAAACTTATCTGTATTAAGCACCCCTTCCGTTTCGTTCCATACAAAACAATAGCCATCTTTGCTGATATTGTTATGAGAGCACAGATTATGCTTTTAAAGCTTTGTTTTGTAGTACAATGTGCTGACATTTAACTTAGGTGCCATTAAAACTGCTTGAAGATCTACTGTGAATACAAGACTACTATTTGCTTTATCTGTTTGTTTTTCTTTTCCAGCTTCTTCTTTTTTCAATAGATGTTATTGGTAATCACGTTCATCATTGTCCCAGCCTTATATCTTACACATATTTCACATTCGTCCTTTTTGGGTCTAAACATAGAAAGATTTCTCGATGACATAACCTCACTGAAAGTAGTTTTAGATAGCGGTTGTACGGTGTGCGATTTGCACCAGTCAGATACGTAAAACTTATATAAATCCATTTTTATTTTCTAATCAGTTTGCAGATATTTTTTGGAAGATGAAGCCCGACAGTAATGAGACTCCATTATTGGTAGAGAGTCAAAAAATCGGCCGTTGATTTTTGCCCGTTTACAAAAAAGTTAACTATATCTTTATTAACTCTAAGTTGACTAGGAATGCAAGTATTCTTTCATTCCATCTTACCAAGCAATAACAGTCATTCTTCCAATCCCCAAAGTATTTAAATTATACTTGAATGACTGAGCTCGTCGAGAATTATTAGACACTTTTCGATCCCTATGACGTTTTGTTGGAACTGACTGAACTGTATCATTAAGAAATATTTTCTTCTCCCCCCATGTATACGTTTTCCAAAATTGGTTGAATATTTTTATTCTTTCTTCATCTTTTACAATGCCACACTTGGTTATGCCTGTTGTTTTTGCTACTTTAATCGAATTAATACAAACTAATTAAAAGTAAAACATAAAGGGTTTTTTTTTTTTAAATTAAAAGATTGCTACGACCTGGCAAATTTGACAGTTAAACTATTGCACATTCAATCATTATAAGCCAAGAAACTAAGGTTGATCAACCTCGTACTTAAGAACTTGATCAAACTCGTACTTAAGAACTTATTGGTATAAGATATCAAAAAAAAAATAAAAATTAACTTTCGGTTATTTTCATCAACGTAAACAAATTCAAGTTTGACATAATATTTTAAACACGTCCATCATAAAAATATAATATTAAAAAATGTGTCAAGGTATATTACTTACAAATATTTAGGAACCATCAATTCAAATAACATACTTACATTATCTATCTTAATAAACATTTTTGGAGATCAATGTACTCGCAAGTCTTATATCAAATATTATACAAATACTTTAATTGCAATCTTTAGATCCTTATCATTACTATTTAAGTACACATTGCAAATCTTAGATCTGATTTTTATCATCGTCAGATTTTTTAATCTAAGTAATAAATATTTCGATATTTTCCAAGTAAAAGTTATCTGACAATTGAACAATTAGCGCTTAAAACAACAACAATTCGTCGCATCAAAATTCGTAATTCTATATATTCCTAACAAATTATCACTTGCCAACAAAAGAGATATTAAACGAAATAAAAAATAGATGCCAAAATAAAAATAAAAGCTGATTATTCAATATCATCATCTTTGACATCGGTTTGTGGTAAAGTATCTGTGACATTGTTAGCGGTTGTAAGACTGTAATATTCATTAAAAAATATTTCAGGAATCACCTTTTCTCGACAAAGTTTCAGTAAATCATCATGTTTTGCTTTAGATGTAGCTAATTGAGATTTATAACACGCTGGGGGACTAATTTTGGTTTTTGATTGAACTTCGATAAAATAAGTTTTTGCATTCACATTCATGGAGTTCTTGACAGCAATTTCTGTATCCCTTTTCTTTTTGAATGTTATAACACGAATTTTACTGATTTTTCCAGTTAAATTTCCCTTGAAATACTTTTCGCTGATTGCATCCCATCTATTGAAGTCTTTAAAATATAACAACTCCACTTCGTACGGGTCTGGATCTTGTCTTGCCGCAGTGAATACTGTATACCATTGTGAAGGTGCGTGAATAATAGTTTTTTTTTAATTTCTTTCTATAACGGCATGAACGGAATCTACTGGCATGTAGGTGTGCCCGGTTAACAAGAAGTTTATCTGGATGGTTTCAATATTATTGCATGTTTGTAAAGTTGAGTGCAACATTGCGATGATTATCCGATTTTGTTCTGATCTGGGCAACAATCACAATAAATTCTTTATTGTACCACATTCATCGACAATGTGAATGTATTTATTGAGTATTGTCGTAATTTCGTTGGCACCTTTTTTCCATTAGCTTCGTCCCAATAGCTTCGTCCCAATAGAAACAATATACTTTACGCGTGCCATTCTCGTAAATACACATTATATACAGCTAATTTACGGCTGTAATATAACAGCATGCTTTCCCCATAAGGGGTATTTATTACCTTTTGTAGATCAAAACTAGCACATATTGTACTAAGGTCATTTTTGTGTATCTTTTGACGAGATTTAAATCACTTGTAACTCTCTGTCTTTTCTTTTTCATGTTGTTTCTTTTCTTCTTATATTTCGGGACTTTCTTTATTTTGTTCATATTTAAGGCATTTGACACATTTGTACTTTTTAGGGGCATGAAAACCTATGTTAAATCTCTCGTTGAATAAATATCGGAACACCCGATCGCTGACTACGTCAATTCCTTTCTCTATATAACTCTTTTTATAAATTTGATATAAGTTTGATAAATTTTTATATTCACTTGGGAGATAAACACGACTACACCGTACCGCCGGAAGACTTAATAAAATTGATAACTGAAATTATCGTTGAATCTTTTGTTTTATTGTGTGGTTCACGTCTGCCACGGTTATCTTCTTTAGATAGTCCAATCCTGTCCTGTATATTGAATGAATTTTAAACAAACATCCAAAGTAGCTGCTAAAAATTGAAGACAAACTGGACGTTTTCCCTCACCGTCGGTTATAAAATATTTGTAAGTGTTAGATCTTTTTTAAGGTTCTTTATTTCTCCTTCTTTTTATAGCTGTTCTCTGCGTCATACATACCAGCCCATCTTTGCGTCGTGTCGATGATAGACTCCAAATATTATATAATAATAGTCAAAAATACTTTTCCGTTTCTCATTTGTAGTAGGATCACAATTATTGCCACATTTTTCCTATGCATGGGTTTGGTTTAATTTCTTTAGCAGGTATTTCATTCCCATTTTGCCTTAAAGAAAAAAAATTCTCTTAAAGTTAGAACTAATGCACATTTTTTCCTCAAATATCTATTTTTACGTACTATATCTTCCTTATTTTATCTGACGATTTCTTTCTCGCTGTACTTGCTTTTAAAAGTTCCTTTTTAAGCACAATTTCTCGAGGACGTCAAGAATTGACTTTCATTCGCTTACTGGTTTAGATATTAAATGCAAACTGGATTGATGTGATGTTGAAGGCTGAAAATAAAATAAAATATTTAATTTTTTTGTTTAATTGAACTTAAATTTAAGAGTCTGTCATGAGCTCATCCCAGACTTGGCAGTGTTGGCGAAGCTTTCGATTTTCTTACGATTCTTCTTTAAATCGTAAATCGATTTTGTTCACTATCCAACTTCCGTAAAATTACCATCTTTTTAGTTATACTGTTAATGTTTACGTTTTTCGTCCGCCATTTTGTCAAGCGACGCTTTGATGCACGAAAAACAACAGACACGTGGCACCAATCACTGTTAATGTTAAGCCTCCGGGCTTAATTTTGACAGTGAGTGGTGCTACTGTCGAGCGTAATCTGAACAAAAGGGAAATACACGACGCTTTTCTCCCACTCTGTAATCCGGCATTCTGTTGTATATACTGCTGAATTATAGAGCGGGTCACCTGTGTTGCTAGTGCCACGCTACGGGACGTGCCGGATTGGCTAGCGCCCCATTACTGAGCGCCGATTGTATTTATGTCTACTTATCGATGAAATGTTAAACCATCACTTTTTTTTGACGTTCTCAAGTGTTTAGAACAGTCTTGAAGCACATAACCAGGCATTTTTATGCAAGTACAAAATACGATTCGTCGCAACGGGCATTGGACAGTCACTGGAGAGTTGTGGTACGGTATGCCGCAAGGCGTTGCGCAAAATCATGCTTTGCGGTGTCGTTTCTAGTACGTTAGTACGTGATATCTCAATGATTAAATATGTCTTTTTGTCGTGTCCATGACTAACGTAATAAATTTTTTGTAAATTATGTGTCTCGGTCACAATGACCAATACCAGTGCAGAACGGATATATATTACTGTTTTTAGTACATATTGGATAAGACAATAAGCGACAGCATTTTACACAGTGCCATTAGTTTTTGTATTTATGTCTAATATCTCATGTAATCTTTTTTGTGACAGTAAAGAATCAATGATATATGTTGTAGTAAGATAGTTAAAGCTGTGATATAGTTATATTCTTAAGGATATAGGTATATACCGTAATATGAAAGCGGTAGGATCATAACTACCGCTTTATACTACAGCTAGACTAATCTAGTCTAGTGAAATAATTGTTATTGTAGTTTGTAATTTCTTAGTCAAAACTAGTTATGATTTTTGTTATGCGATAAATTCCGTAAAAACTAGTATTATTTCAACTAGTTATGATTTTTACTTTTTTGAAATTATTAAATTAAAAAGTTAATTTCTGTCAATATTATATTTTATATTATTATAATGTATGCGACTTTAACGTAGTGCAAGGGCTACCCCAGCCGCATCTTAACCTACTATCAAAAATGGAACATGAACAACACAATGGTAACTTAAAGATCCAATGTCAATGTCGCGAAATTTCTTCCTGCTATCATTGAACTTACAATTATAATTTCACAAGATTAGTCTAGTGAGATACTTATGAACCGCTTTCATATAACTATATTTGGTATATGGCTATATCCCTAGGGATATAACTATATTACATCTCTAACTATCTTACTGCGATATATACAAATAATTCGTTCATATCCAGTGCCATTAGTTTTTTCTATACAATACTAGCTTTTTACATCATGAGGAACATCATTAATACTGTTCCATACCAAAATCAACAACGTTGGATCACTTGTAGAGTCACCTCGTTGTCACGTTTGTTAGTCAAGTGATATCTTTTGAATTCTTAGAGATTATTAGAGGTTGATTTTTTTTATGACTGCATGACAGGGGTTGCTAGACGTATGATATCGTACCTTGAGAAGAACGAAAGCATAAGTGTAAAAAGTACATTTTATAGGAGAGCAAAAAAAACTAGTTATTTCTTAATATCTTTTAATTAAAAAATCTGGCAGTTTCACCTTATTAATGAAAAATTGCGTCAAAAATACTCTTTTCATTCATTGTACAAGCTAAAACTAGAAGTTAATATTTAATTAGTTATTAACTTTCATTTAAATTACGCTACTCTTTATTGGTCTCTTTTTTTACAAGAGAAATGTATGAATAGATATACAAATGTTCTTTAGAAAATTAATAATTTTAGCAAAAATATTCGTGAATACATCACCATAGAATGGAATCAGTCTGAAAAGGAAGTAATATTATGCTTTCTTTCACCAAACTAATTTGTTGAATAATAAAAATAAGTACTCTTTATGCCTTTTTTCTATTTGAAAAATGTGAGAAGTATGTGTGGTTAAAACATTAACATCTTTTCTCTCTAGTTAATATCTTTTTATGACGGAAGTAAACTTTGTTATGGAAAAATAGGTTAAGTATTTAATAAAATAATGAAAAGCATATTTTTTTCAAAATCAAATTATTTTTATTATAATAAATACCAGACCATGCCGCCATTTTTAATTGGCAATATAAACTTAACTTTTATTAAAACAGTAATAAAAAATCTTTTTCCTAAAATTAAATTAAAACATTAACGTTATCTTAAGTATGAAATGAGATCATAGGATTTACAAATATTTATTAATTGTACTACATAATTATTTAGGAATTTTCCTTTTGGTAACAACTTATTGTTATAAAAACTAAAAACAGCATCTGACTTGCATAACAAAATTAAAACCTATGAAGTTTAATAATTAAATTACAATTAATTATTTAGATACTTCTGACATGAAAATCATTTATACTCATAAGAATTAAAAACATCATCCGACAAGCGTAGCAAAATTAAAACCTATGAAATTTAATAAATGTATCACACAATTATTTAGGCACTGCTGACATGAAAACGGCTTATAAACATTAAAAACTTATACATATAAAACTAAAAAGCAGCTTCTGACGTGGATAACCAAAATACAACCTATTGAAAAAACTAATTAGTTAAGATTACAAAACAATTTTAATCCTATCGGACGTGTCTTGCAGTATGTCATTTTCAGCGGTTAGGTTTTTAAAGAAACTTTGGTAATAAGCCAGTATAGCATTTAATTCGCACAAACTATTTAAATCTTTATGTAGAGCTTTTGAGATAGGTAACGGACCATTATACGTGGGTTTTAGCTCAAAATCTGCTGGTGTTCCATTCCATTTACGTTTACGTGACGAGGAACGATTACAAATGTCCAGCACGTGGTAATTCTCCTGTTCATAATCACATTTATAGAGAAATTTTCCAGATAAATTAGGATTTGCTTTTATTTCTTTGAAGTGCCACACAAAATTTTTCTTCCGTCTACGTCATATGCCCAATTTCCATTTACTGTTCATATAAATTTAAAATCCTAAATGTTGGATCGATTGACTTCATTCATTATAAACTTATTATGCACCCTAGAATTAGTTATAGCTTCGTACACTTGATCAGGCGTATAAATAATTCAATGTTTAATTTTTTTTCAATTGAGGAATGCATAACATCACCTTCATTCTGCGTATGGTCTGTTTGCAAAAACCGGTGCACAATTTCTATGTAAATTTTTGTGAAGCGTACATGTACATAAAAAATAAATCTATTACGGTTTTGACCTGAACAATTATCAGAATAAAAAGAAATGTTTTATACCCCGTTTGCCTTCTTTTTCTATAAAGTGATATAAGAAACTTGCAATTTCATTAGCACCTCTCTTTGCAATTTGCGCATGCCATACGCAACATTGATCTTGCCGTCTTAATAAATCAAAAACCGTGAAATTATACACAGGGTATTTTCTTTTATAATGAAAAACACCTACATTAGATTATAATGCTTTCAACTTTTCTAAATCAAAAACTGCAACTGTTTTAATACTTGGATCTGATATATACTTTTACTATATTTTATTTTTCTAACAATCGATTTATTTTTTAAATGATTTGTCATAGTTACTCTGTAATTTTATCTTACCTTCGTTATCAGCAATATCATATATACTGCAAATTTGACACATGTCTTTCTTCGGTCGATGAAAAAAAAGATTAAATTTAGTATTGAATATCTGTGTGTCAATACACACAGATAATCAATATACTGACGCGCTAATTTGATACCTTGAAAATGTTCAGTTTCAGACATCCAATCTTTATAGAGCCTATTACATCTTTGAAATGTTAAGATTTTCGGACAAGTATTGTCTAGTAGATTTTCCTCTTAAATAATGTGACTCTATACAAGGAAAGGACTTAATATGCTGTACTACACTCTAAAGTATTATCTTGAATTTTGCAAGGTCGGTTCGTATGCTTACCTCTCAAATCTAAAATTTGTTCATTATTAGAAAGCTTATTCATGGCAGTATAAACGACTCGTTCTTTAATTCCTAATGTATTTATAAAAATTCTTTTACAAACCTTAGTTTTTAAAGCACTGTCATTATTCAAAGGAAAAAAGTAAATGAATGTTTTAGTACGATCTCGTTTTCTATCCACTTTTATAACCTTTGGATTTGTTGATTCAGTATTATTTAAAATGAAATATGTACCACTGCTTTTCATAGTCACCAATTTGCCAGAACAAGTCAAAAATTTTCTTTCGTACTTCATCTGAAAATTTTTCAATACGTTTCATTTTACATGAACACGGATCTTTCATAGTTATTGCTACACAAGGTTGTTTAGTTTTTTTACTTACATAAGCCTTACCTTTGTTTTTATCTTTCTTACTCTTTACAGATATTCATTCACTAGTGTTTATTTTCTTTTTCCTAGGCTTAAAATTTCCTTCATTTATTAGCAAAGGTTGAAACTTAGTGCCTTCAGCTGTATCAAAATTATTTGTGTTCGTAACATTACATATAATATCAGTGACAATTGAATCAGTATTTATAACAGATGAAGATAAATGGATTTTTGAAATTTAGAGAATTTTCTTTAATAGAAGATGACGAAATATCTATTGAGGGCGATACTGGTTTAACTCCTTAGATTCTATTATTATAATTAACTTCGGATGTTATATCACTATCATCAGCTAATTCCTTTGAATTGTCAATAATGCTCATATTTGAGTAGATAATTAAAGTGGATGCAATGAAATCCACAATACTATGCATTTTTAAAGGGGTATCAAATTTGAAGGTACTTTCTGAATTATTCTGAGGACTATTTATCATATCATGAATCAGCGACGAACAACGGACAAAGGAGAACATAATTCTCTTACTAGACTTGAGGAACGACTTGTGTGATGACTCGGTAAAAATTCTGATACAACTGGAGAATAAGGTTCTTCCATATCACGTGAATTATTCTCCGTAATACTACTAAATAACGGCACACACTTATTTCAATCTGCTAGATAATAATAATTACCTAAGATAAAATACATTCGCATACATTTTCCAACAATCGCAGACTACCCAAAACAAAGGTTTACGAAGTCTGTTAGAAAAAGTAAAAAACAACATAAAATAAGAAACAAAATACCCACCTTTAGGTATCTACTCGACTCGAAAAGTAATGACAACTACTGTTTGTACTTACCAAACATGTACATAATCTTTTTAGATCTGTTATTGTACATTGTTGTTGTGTATTTGACACAAGAAAATTTCATCAATATAATTTTCAGCACCATAAAAACACTCACGTGCTGCACTTGGCATATTGAACTATTTTAGGATATTCGCGGTTAAAAATACAACACCAGCCCCGCTCCCCGCACTTACGCACGTATTCGCGCTTAGCTCGGAATCCTTTCAAACAATTTTTAAGTATCATTTATATTTTTAGGGGAACAATGCCGTAATCGACATTACACTTAAAAATGAAGACAATCACATTGCTTAATCAATCAAACAGCTTTTATTTGTAAATAAGGTTATAACTTATTTAGTGGTAATCGCGATAATCTCTGGGGTACAATAATTTTGAACAAGGAAAATTTATGTTCAAATTTTTACACGAATAACAACATTTAAAATTTTGCGACAAAAAGACTTTCCAACGTTTAATGAAATCAATAATTATATTTCTTCAGGTTTAAAAAGTTGTTTAGCTATTTATGTTAATTTATTTATTTTCTGCGTAATCCATAAAACGACTTTTTTAGTCAATTTATTTTTTCTAAAGGCAAACATGCAGATATTACAAATTTTATCAATAATTCCTTAATACTAATAAGGTAATTTGAAAAAAAAAATTGAGCGTTACATACGCTCAGTTTTTTTGCGTTGCTCTTTTTGATGGTGTAAAAACAAACAAATCGACATGAGACCACTTATGCTCTTGTTCTTCTTAAGGTGCGATATTATCATACGTCTAGCAACCCTTGTCACTTTTTATATCGGTGACTTCCGAGGTATTTTTAATAGGGATAAATTATCTTTGATTCAAAGTTACATTATTTACTTTTTACTCTTTCCGTTTATTCATAAATTAAGGTAATTTAATTTTGACCAAATAACGTGATTAATAGAATATAGATAGAAATCATTATGTTGACCAAATAATATCGAATTTCGTTGTCTTCTATTATTGTACGGCAGATTATTTGCGATATTTGTTTTATATCATTGGCCAATTGAATATTGATTGGCACTATAAAATATTAGCTTATATTTTTACTAATCCATCAAATAGAGATAAAAACATCGGATAACTTAATACAAAAGGAAGTTAGTAAAATTATTGCTATGACGATATACACCCAATAAGTATAGTTAATAAAAAGTTTCTCTTTTAATCACAGTTTTGTATACACAGTTTCCAGTATAACAGTTTAGTTAGTTATTTTGCTAAACGTGACAATTACGGTAAATCATCCCAGTAATGGCTGGATATTTTAAGTTTTTGATCCTGCAAGAATAAGTATTCAGTAGTATTATATTTAATCTTATCAGTTAGTTATTATTACTTTATTTAGCAGTAAATAGGTGGCGCTAATTTCAGATTAAAACTATTAAAGCCAAAACTCTCGAGTTATGTAAATGTTGCCAGATCGTAGAATTGATCATTATTATGAATACACAGTCTTTCAGTCACAACAGTCTTTAGTGTTCCAAAACCAATATTATACGATGTGTTAAAAACATGGCGGAAATACGACAACTTCACTAGGGGATGTACATGCTCACTTACTTTGTACATTTGGAATAATTTAGACAAATTTAATTCAGTTGGTAGATATTTTCGTTCAGCTGTTTTCGTTTTTCTACAGTAGTGAGATTCTATACATTTCAATGTTGCAATGTAGTTGTGAGTAGATGGTTTTTCATCAGCAAACTTTGCTGTTTTGCGGTCTCCTCCACGATGCTCAGTACCAACTTCCCCAGTGTAATAAAACTTTTTCATGACAAATGCCACTCTGTGTTTGGTAATCCCAAAAATATGCAAAAAAATTTATTACAGATAGGTATTCTCGTCTTGTTAACAATCACACCATATTTGATGGTAGTTTGTTTCTTCCCTTTATATTTGTGATGATTTTTACTGGTACGGTTAACCGACATTATTTTACATAATTTTAAGAGTATAGCATCTTGATCTTTTTTATTCGTATGGGAATAAAAGTCCTGATGAATTTTTGTCATTTGTGCCATAGTTATAGTCTGACATTTAAATGCTGGTGTATTGTGATTGCAAACTCTCTGCGGCATACTCTTTGGTTCATACCTAAACAAAAAAAAATTGAAATGAACATGTGCGAATGTCACATGTCTTACGACCAGCCATACCCATAACTCATTTTTCACTATCTACCTACTTTGCCGTCTTTGATACTATACGACTCAAATCACAACTGACAGCCATTTTGAATTTGCGGCAATGAAGCTCTCTGATTGGTCGATTGCAACTTTAGCTGTGTTTGATTCTCACAAGCGAGGATATAGATGATTTTGATTCTAAGCTGAGTTTTTGAACGTTATTTGTGAAGGATATGGCTGCTTTAGATACTGAGTGATGGGTGAAACTGTTTACTAGTTGAGTGATGCTTAGGTTGCCATTCTCAAGTGAATTTAGGTACTATACGGATTTAGCTAGCTGCCTTTGATTCTGTACGCCTCATTTATTAATTGAACGATTTTAAAGGAAGGAAAATATGAATTCAACTGTATCTTCTTTATTAATGCATAATATTTTACACTATGAACTATATTTCTATTGTAATCCCATATTTAAATTTATCTGATGTTATTTAATTACATAAAATATGCATTATGAGCTGGCATAATTTACAGTCATTGTAAATTTATAAAGTTATAACTTTTACTATTCATAATATAATAATGTATTGGATTGTGTAATTTAAAAAGTTTTTCTATTATAAGAAAAGGTTTATACAAACCAAATATATATTTATTTGGTTTGTATAAACCTTCGCCATCGGTCATATACAGATTTTTTTTTAAATTATACAATACAGATTAAAATTATCCTAAAAGTTAACATTTGTCGAGATGGAGGTCTTGTATATTACCTGATTGAATACTTGTTAATAATACTCATTTTCACACTATATTTTTTCACCTTTAATATATAATCCATGTAGATATTCTAATTTATAATTTAATAATTAATTTAGCTGATTATATATCGATTAAATTACCGCATATGGTAAAAACACAGAACTCGTAATAATATCTTATTATTACTATTTCTGTGGGTAAAAAAAAATACAATAACATCCGAAATAACAAGTTTTTTGTTAACGCTTAGGATTTATAAAATAGAATCTCATTTTATTTAAATCCATGACTGTTATTATTTTACTTTTAAGTGAGCACTAATTGTACTTATTTAATGTAAGCTGTCCCTCAGCAGTGACATTTTTCATTTTTGAGGTTGTCACCAGGCCTGATATTTTATAATATTGGAGTAATAACATAACATGTGATAATAAAGTGATAACTTTTAGTTTTAAGTTGTGAGTAGAAATAAATAATTAAAAAGAAATAATAAAAAAAGAAATAAACGAATTTTACTTTATTGTCTTTGTTTTTTAATCCGGCGTGAATGAACCTGGGTGTGACGACACACTCGGCACATTTTTAAACGCTTATTTTTTCTCAGTAGTTTGAGACAGATGACTGACGTATCGATAGCCGGTTTTCTTTCAGTAAGTAGCAGTAGTGCGATGCGCGTGAACTGAGACAGGTGATGCAAAGTGCGATTGGGTGCCTTACACCAATGTTTATAAGGTCTATCCTAAGAAGTATAAGGTGTCTCAATTAGCCGGAAAGATCATGGCGACGATCTTTTGGGATACAGAAGGTATCCTTTTAAAGTTAAAGTTACAGCCTATATATACACGCCCCACTCCTGGGCACAGGCCTCCGCTCATTTCTGAGAAGGTTTTAGGGCAAGGAATTGTCCGCTGCACTGCCCTAATGCGTGTTGGCGATCTTCACATGTCTTCGAAATAGTTTTTTTTATTTCTCAGACATGCAGGTTTCCTCACGATGTTTTCCTTCACCGCCGAGCACGTGGTAAATCAGCACTTAAAATTGCAATTAACAATTTCATTGGTGCCGGCTGGGAACGAACCCGGTTTGTTCGCGTATTGTTAAATTTACAGCGAGCGCTAACTATCTGAGCTACCACGGCGGAATGTATTCTTTTGATTGATTATAAAGAAAGTGGTGTTTCCATAACGGGAGAATACTATGCTTCTTTACTAGATTAATTAAAAGAAGCTATTAACAACTGCGCCACCCACCCTACAACCCAGACCTGGCCTCAAGCGAGTATTATTTGTTTCCAAAAATGAAGAAAGAACTGCGTGGAAGAAATTTAGCGACGATAATGAAGTGAAGTCGGCAATTTCGGCCAATTTTGACATCCAAGACGAATAATTTTTTTTTCTAGACGGTATTAATAAGTTATTTGACAGATCTAATTAATGTATTACGATTAAGGAAGCGTTTTTTTTGTTTGTTTTAACGCTAATCTATGGAACTACCAGTCCGATTAGCAAAATTATTTTTGTATATTATAGCCAGATTTATTAGGGATAGTATAGGCTATTTAACATTAGGCTACACCACTCGGCTAGCCTTAAATATTGCTTTTTGTTAAGCAAGTCAGAAGAAAAAGCCCGATAAAACTATAGACATCCGGAACTTGCGTACGGGGATGAGGGAGGGGGTGCATGCAGGAGAAGCCCCCAATACCCTTTTCCCCTTGCGGAAGTGTTAGCAAAATTATTTTTGTATATTATAGCCAGATTTATTAGGAATAGTATAGGCTATTTAACATTAGGCTACACCACTCGGCTAGCCTTAAATATTGCTTTTTGTTAAGCAAGTCAGAAGAAAAAGCGCGATAAAACTATAGACATCCGGAACTTGCGTACGAGGATGGGGGAGGGGGTGCATGCAGGAGAAGCCCCCAATACCCTTTTCCCCTTGCGGAAGTGTATAGTTTATGAGTAATGATTTTCTTGTAAAATCATAACCTTACTTTTTACACAGGAATATTCACAACAACAGGTCATTGAGCATAGTGCTTAGATCTGCCAGCGATTCTTAAGGACTATAACGTCGCCAAATCGTAGGCGAGTGATTTACTCGCCTTTAATTTTAA